ATAGATATCGACAAAAAATACCAATATTTTGGCAGCTATGTTAAAATCTAATATGACACAATTTCTTATAACTACATGATACTCACTGTTATTGAAAACATGGGTGAAGGTCTTTGAATGGAAGTACTAAGTACATAACAGTTATTTTGCAAACAAATTGCACTGGTAGGAGAGTTTTATCAAACCACATTTATTTTTAGATTAAAGGTGTATAATGCAGAATACAAAAAAAATACAAATCTCTTAAAATGAAATAAAAATTAGCAATTTTGAACCTAAAAGTGTACTTCTAAGTGTACATTTTCACCTATAAATTTACAGCGAAAAATGTTGGAATCCCTTTATGTTATTTTATAATCATAATGTTACGTATATTTTAAGATGATGATGATGACGGCGACGACGACGACGACGACTACAGCGGCGGCGACGTCGGTGGCGGTATTTATAATGATGATGATGATGGTGATGATGATGATGATGATGATGATGATGATGATGATGATGATGATGATGTTAATGACATTTGTGTTTTGCAATGGACGATGAGCAATTGACAATGCATTATGCATTTTATTTTGGCAGATATTGACATGGATCCTGTTGATGTCGGTGAACCATTATGTTTATGGAATAAACAAAGTGCAGGTAGAATATTTTAATATTATAAACATATGTACATAATGATTGATTTTTTTTGTTATAAATTTATTTGATCTGAACATTATTGAATTTGCATTAATGATAATAATATTTATTTGGATAACGCTTTCTTAATAGCAGCACACATCACATTAATGGTGCATCCAAATTAAAACTATAACAATCAAAATCATTAAAACCAACAATAACTAAAGAGGTATATGTATGTATGGTGCATGCACGTACATATACATACACAGACACACCCACCCACGCATACACATACACACCCACACACACACACATACATATCTACACACACATAAATACATACAAACACAAACATACACACATACACAAACATAGATGCACATACATACACACACACATACAGTACATATACCTCCTTCACTTAAAAAGAAAAGGCAAATTAACAGCAAGAAATACTTAATTAAATGAAATGAACTACACCAGATAATTTGTCAGCATAAAAAAAACATATAAATCAAGCTGATGAGCTGCAGATATGCAATAAAAAAAACATAAATAGTACTAACGAACTAAACAAAGTTTACAAGGTATAAAAATAAAAACAATAATAATGTAATAAAAGATACTTTAAATATGAGTAAAATTATGAGTTTCCAAAAAAAATGAAAATAAAAAATGCACAATTACCTTTCGCCAAAACCAACTAGCTCACTACTAGGAGATTAAAAAGCCTGCTATCTTGTTACTGCAGCAGGGTGTTCGCTTTCGTTCGAATCATCGCAGCAACTTATTCAGGAAAATTGTACTCTCATCAATTTTCCTCAGCGGTTTTATACTGTTTCTCTTCAGTATCTAGCTACAGTAGCTGTAATGAACTACGGTATTAAAAGCAACTTATTGGTATTTCGTATCGTAAATGTGTGTGTCATGGTTATTTCAATTTCTGAACATGGACGTATTAATAAGATATGGACATAATAATAAGTCCATGTTCGGAAAAATATCTGAATATTAACAGTAGCAATATTATTAGTATAAGTCGTTAAAATGTATATGATGCAAATACACCTAATATGGTTTCCTTTAAATATAGAGTCCAATAAAAAATGTTTTTTTTTTTTTTTATGCACATTTTACTTTCACATACTATCATATTCGCAACCCCCTCCCCCAATAAACACAATTTCACAGGTCTGTCATATACACCAGTTTTCCCCTTTATCTGCGCAGAATGCAAGCGTCCATCAGTGCCTAAGTAGGTTTTGATCACTAATTCAAGAGGCAACTGTGACCGATAAGTATTTTCAAGTCTCATTAGAAAAAGGCATTATCTGCAAAATCCAGGTTTTGACAAAATGAGAAAAACGCGTTTGTTTTTAGAAAAAGAAAAGAACAAATGATATTCAATTCTTGCAAGTATATTTTTAAGTATATTTAACTATAATATTAAAATAAAATTGTTATTATTAATTATCTACAATAATGTTTAAAGGTATTGATGAATTTTAAATTAGTGCATGATGAATACTATATATGTATGTCGCTGTAATTTAAAATAAAAAACATTTTTACTTAAAAATGTATTCTAAATTTTATGTAAAAATTAAATAAATATTTTGAAAATGTACTCGCATTGAAAGTTATAACTTCTTTATCGAAATGTTAAACAAAATGTTTTTTAAGTAAGGTATACAAAGCAAAAACCAATAAAGAATGAAATAGATGAAATGTGTTTTATATATTTTAAGCCTGGTGGAGCTTAGGTGGATTAGCTTTCGGCCAGGGGAGGGGGTTTGGGGTGTGGGCTGCGGGTTGTATATTTAAAGTAAATTTGCAGGTAAATTCAAAAGTTATCTATATTTTATGACATGTTTCTAATATAATACCTGTAACGTCGCTAAACGTTAAAAGCGGTGCAATTAACAAAATTTACAGTTGAACTCAGCATACATTTTACGCGTTCTGTTCATATATTTCTTAAGGTTTTCCAACGTTTTAAAATAACAGATTATCAATGGTATACAATGATTCAAAGAATGAACGAATGAACGATGAACGAACGAACTTATGAACGAACGAACTGTGAACGGTTCAAACTGAAATAAAGGATATAAAATAAATCAGATCTATAGGATATGCTTTCTATGCAATAATATTTAAATGAACAGGATTATTAAACTAATTTAATAATTATGGTTTCTAATGATATAAACTATTAGAGATAAACATTAAATATAAACTCACATCACTGAGTCTCGTGGGTGTATGTAGTATCCAAAGGTATAATTACTATACAGTATGTATTTCTCTCCTATGTCTACAGCTTACAAAGGTATCAGCAAAAATGCTACATATCCTGTGTAATGCTGACTAGATATACCAATATGATAATAAACCAAACATTGTATGAATGAATACAGTGTTTTTATAAACTAAAGTTAACATTTTGTTGATATTGAAAACAAATTTCAGGGTGTTACACCGGCCCCAATACATTACAATGTATTCAAAGAAAGATACCCTGAAATATTTAAAAAAAAAAAAGACTTTAGGCTTATACTAATTTATCTATAAACGAACTAAACCTATATATTACTTTTATTTTTTTTAATATGTATGTTAATAATGGTTGGCTATCCCTCATCTGGTTTTCCTCAGCGGTATTATACTGTTTCCCTTCAGTATCTAACTACACAGTAACTCTAACCAACTACAGTATTAAAGGCAGCGTATTGGTATTTTATATCTTAAAGGTGTGTGTCATAGTTATTCAAATTTCAGAACAATACTCAATAATTTACAATAGCCCTATTAGCTTAAAGTTGTTGAATTGTATATGATGCAAATACAGCTAATATATTTCTATAAATATCGAGTCCAATATAAATGTTCTCTTTTCGATGAAAAGTTTTACTTTAACACACTAGGTTTCCAAAGCGCAACCTTCCAATAAACAAATTTTTAATACAGATCTGTCATATACACCGGCTTGCGTCTTGTTCTGCACAGAACGCACGCGTACATCTGTGCCTGGGTAGGTTTTGGTGACCAATCCAAGAGGCCATTGTGAGCGATGAGTATTTTCAAATTATACTAAAACTAGGTCACCCTTCTGTATGTTTCTTTTGGGTGTTAACCATTCTTTTCGTTCTTGAAGTGCAGGTAGGTTTTCACTTAACCAGAATACATTAGCCATATATTGTATCTGACGCCAGCGTCTCTTGTACAAGTCCTGCTCCACAAACAAACCAGGAGGTAAATCTGGTCCTGAACGCATATACAGTAAGTGCTTAGGTGTCAGAGGTGCAGTGTCATTTGGGTCACTTGACAATTTGGTAATTGGGCGGCTGTTTACAATATTGTCCACCACACACTTAAGTGATGCCAAACCTTCATCTAGTTTTTGCTGACCAAGCAGGCCACACAATACGGAACGCACAGTACGGATTTGTCGTTCCCATACTCCACCCATATGTGATGCAGCTGGAGGATTGAAGATCCATTCAATTTCTTTTTGATGCAAGAAATCACCAATTTTATGCTGGTTCAATTCTTTGAGCGCATGTTTAATTTGCATGCGAGTACCAACTAAATTGGTACCATTATCTGATCTTATTTCACGTGGTTCCCCTCTTCGAGCAATGAAACGTTGTTGGGAATTGATGAGAGAATCCGTGTCCAAACTATGTGACACCTCAATGTAAACTGCCCTTGTAGCGAGACAGGTGAATAGACATCCATATCGCTTTAGTTGGATACGAGCTCTTTTTACAAGAAAAGGTCCAAAGTAGTCCACGCCCACTCTATTGAATGGCGTTTCATATGCCGTAACTCTGGATTCCGGAAAGTTTCCCATAAGTTGTTTTTCAGCTCGTGCTCTCAATTTCCTGCATATTATACATCATGATAATATATTCCTGACGGTGACACGGCCCTTGACGATCCAGAACTTTAGTCTCGTTTCAGCCAGAAGACGCTCAGCTCCGGCATGCCCCGTCAGTTTATGATAGTGATCAATGATTAGTTTGGTAATATGGTGGGTTGCTGGGAGTAAAATTTGATGTTTAATCTGATACGGCAAATTGGCTTTAGTTAGCCTCCCTCCAACACGCCATATTCCATCATCTGCCTTTATTGGAAAGAGGTTTCTCAGTGGGCTAAACCTTGTTCCATCTGGTTTTACTTTATGGCAATTGTCCTGAACATATTTGATAATTGCCTTTTCAGCTTCCTTTCTCTCAGTAACATTTAGCTCTCCAGTAAAATGCTGCTTCTTTATTAGTATTTTCTTAAATCGAAGGATCCAAGCCACATATTTCTTTAATTGATACCACGATGAATATCTCTGCAAAAGCATGTCAGTAATGTTAACACTTTGTACCACTGAATATTTGAGCACACTTAAACTGTGGTTGTACCGGCCAGGCATTTTCATCTTTCCACAGGAATGATGGTCCATGAATCCATCGTTGGTTGCCTGTCAGTTTAGCTGTGATCCCTCGGGATGCATCATCAGCTGGATTAGATTTGCTGGGAATGTGTCTCCATTGGTATGGTGAACTGTGATTTCTAATTTTGGCAATTCGATTGGCAACGTAAGTCTGGAACCGACTTTCATCATTTTGAATGTACAGTAAAACAATCATGCTATCCGACCAATATACAGATTCCAACAAAGGTATTTCAAGCTCTCGTCGCAACAACTCGTCCATCTTGATTGCTTCAACTGCAGCAGTCAGTTCTAACCTTGGAATTGTCATGCCTTTCAGAGGTGCTAATCTAGATTTGGACATTAAGATACTGCAGTGAATCTTATCATTTACATCCGTCATCCTGAGATAGGTAACCGCTCCATATCCGGTTTCCGATGCATCAGCAAAATTATGTAGCTGATTGGATTTAATGTTGAAATCTGTTGGCTTAACACTACGAGGTATATTTAAGTTCCTCATGAGTTGAATGTCTTTGAGCCGCCGGCCCCACTGCTCAGCAATATCTGGTGGTATGACATCATCCCAACCATAGTTAAGACGAGAAAGTTGTTGAAAGAGCATCTGTGCTCTCAATACATATGGTCCAGTGTAACCTAGGGGATAATAGACGGAACTTACAATACTTAGCATTCCCCGACGTGTCATAGGTTTAGGTTAAACTTGTATATTGGACTGGAATTGATCTATGATCACAAGGAAGGTTGTCAAAGTTCATATTTAGGCACTTCAAAACTTTAGTCCATTCCTCTTCAGGTAGTGAACAGATAACTTCTCTGCAGTATAGAAATCCAATATTTAAGTCGAAATCCACCCCGCAGTAGTAGTTTCTTTAATTGGTGAACGAGAGACAGCTTCATCAACTGACGGCACGGACTTCAAGCAGTCATCAACATAAAAGTTTGTTTTAACAGTCTGTAATACCTCGGGGTGAAATTGAAACAGTACGATGAAGAGCAAAGTTGGCGCAGTTGGGGCTCCAAACACCACCAAATAAGTGGACAGTCATTCGGTATACAAGAGGAATATCACCAGGATTGTCGTTGGCCTACCACAGAAAGCGAAGGACATCACGATCAGAAGGTGTTACTCGTACTTGGTGGAACATACTTTCAATGTCCGCCATAAAGGCAATCGATTCTTTATTTATTATAGTTAAGTACCGGATTATGTGAGAGGTACCACACATAACCGTCATTTCTGTAGATCTCATTGTCGGGTACTAATTCGGCATAGCCGGCATCGAGAAATGCGTGCACTTCTGCCGTGTATCTGTCTTTAAGTGCGGCAATTTGACTCAAGCGTTTACCAAGTAGGTGCAATCTGATTTACAATTTGTCGGTTATCAGGCAAGTTTTCGTGATTTACTTTTAAATGGAATATTCATTGTGTAATGTCCATCTTTTTCTAACACGGCGATTAGTCTTTCCATTTACATATAACCTTTCGGCCACTGATGGACATCACAGTTTCCTTGGTGTTTTCAGACCAACAATTATCAACGTTTATTTTGCTTTGTGCATAGTGACTTGATGGCGATTAGTAGTTCCATCAGCCAATAGGACAGTTTATGGCAAAGCCCAGGATCATTCATACGCCAAAAGGTTCACCAGCATTCCTACTGCGTACTTCATGTGGACGGAGCAAATCAGGCATATCTTGTCCAATGGGAAGTTGAAGTTTCGAATTCTTGAGGACTGGTAGCTCTAAATCAGCCAGGTGTGGTCACTTGGATAGCTCTTGTCTACAAGCTAAATTTGTTTCTACTGGGCTAAGAATTAACTATATGGACCCGCCCACTATAATTGACAATCATCCTCAATACATTGTACACAATAAAGTAGCACATGATCAGATATAGTTTGATTCGATCGTGATTTATTACGACAATTCAGACAATGGGCGTGAACGTGTGCGGACGTGTTTCGGCTCTCAGAAATATGGTTCTCATTTTACTTATATTTGCTCAGCTTTATCAACGTTACTCTTCACCAGTTTACCTGAAATGCAGTGTTTTTTATGAGGATTATATATTTGATGATGTTTTATCAATAAAAACCGAGTTTTTGACTGCCAAAAAAGTAGGCCTTCGACATAGCGTGGATTGGCAATCTTTGAGTTATACCGACAGAAATGCTTTGAACAAGGTATGCAAATTCAGATGGCCATTGATGTGCTTAAGTACTAGCCTACACAAACGTTTACTTGGAAGTAAGGATGATCGTGCGGTATGGAAAAGGAAGTTAAGTGGTCCTTGTATTAATTACCAAAATCATACATCAACAATTAATAATCTTCTTCCTTTGAATGGAAACATAAATCCGGGCCCTGGGCCGGTCAAGAACCCATGTGGTGTTTGTGAAAGGCCTGTCGCCACTACACACAGTTAAATGCAACGTATGTAGCAAATACAGTCGTATTAAGTGCAGGCGTATTACACCCTCTCAATACCGCTCACTTGATGTAGCAACAGGCTCATGCGTATGTCCAGGATGCGCATTTCTTGAGCTTCGTAATCTATCACGATTGTCCATTGATAGAGTATTATCTAATAATGATCATGACTCCAGTAATATAAGCATACCGAATGCATAAAATGTCATGTCTAGCTGCTTTTGTAGAAATTGACGACCACAGCATTTGTGGTGTGACTGAAACCTGGTTAAATGCCAGTATTCCAGATAGTTTATTATCTTCTCAGCATGTTTTGTTCAATGAGGTGGAGTACTTCTTGCAAATAAGCCTAGCCTTGCACCTATTGCCGTTTACCATCATTTCATGGATAATTTAGAATGTATATTTGCCCAGTTCACTCATGGGAATCAGAAGTGGCTTTGTGGAATGCATTACCCTCCTAATGAAGTGTGCGTTACCAAATTGGAGGAAGTATTATTTAATATTAACATTGAGCATTACCACTGATTAATCTTGTTGGGTGATTTTAACGTAAATTGGTCAGATACTAATACTAATATACATCGGCAGTTAGGCTATTGGACATTATCTTTTGGTCTTAATCAACTCATCAAGGAGCCTGCCAGAGTAACTAGTGATTGTAGATCCACTCTCGATCTGATATTTACTATTCTCCCAGATAGAATATGTGATTTGAAGGTTTTATAAGCTTTTTTCTGCCTCCTATCATTGCAAAGTATATTTTAGAATTTGTGGTATTCCAAGGGATTGAAGCGTTGCCACCCAAAATAAATTATCTATACCATAAGGCGGACGTTTACAAATTGAATAACATTATAGCCAGCATATCTTGGGAATCTATATTTTCTGGCACTCTTGAAGAGACTTTGAAAAAATAATATTCCAAGTTTATGAATTGCATCAATAATGTCAAGTATTCCACGTAGAACCAGACGGCAACGACCAAAAGCATGGGTTACAGATGGTGATTAGAAGCTTGTTCACCTAAAGCGCAAACTATTTAAACGTTTTAAGAGAACTGGAATGTTGAGGATTTGAATAAGTATAAACTTATACGAAATAAAAATGAAGTATTCCATTGAACGTTCGTACAGCAATTCATTTAACATCCTTATGAACAAATCGGATAATTTAAAGAAGTTTTGGACATATAACAAATCTAAGATATTATGTGCAGGTAATTTATGTTTTACATCTGCAATGCATCGTCATGTAACGACCCTACAAGAATCGCTGAATCATTTAACTTGTAGTTTGCGTCACATTCATTGTGGTAAGACGCAAACAACAAGTTAAATGATTCAGCGATTCTTGTAGGGTCGTTACATGCCTCGCCATGTATATAATTAAAACGGAAAAGTAGAGAAAATCCGATCAGAATGACAAAATCAACTAAGCATCTACTGGAAGGAATCCCAATATCTGCAGACGGATCAGTTTCGGCCTTCCAGACCTCATCAGTGCAGCTAGGGTATAGACCCAAACGAAACGTTCAACCAGCTTAGGTAGGGCCCAAACTAGTCCCACGACCACTAATGATTACAGAGCCAAACCAAGGCAATATATATACACAGCCCATGTGTGAATGCAAATAGTGGAATACAAGCTATGTTGTTGGGTTCCAGCAGATACAGAGAATATTTTGTCATTCTTAACGCGTCCAGTAAACCTTTATAATGAACATATTGTAATTTTTCAATTCAAATAAATACTTATAAATAGGTTTTTATTTAGTAAATAGATGTGTATAAGAGACAGATATATATAGTAATAGCAATCAGACTGAAATTACTACACATCGAAACTGATGTATATTTTCCATAAAGGGGAAATTATTTTAAAGATACCATATATGAATTTGAACAAATATTTATTGAGCACATTTTTTATTATTTATGCACTTCTGTGTATCTCGATACTTTATAGCAATATTAGCACTATTATTTACTCAAATGCGCTATGAATGAGACGCAAAACACTATCACCATGAATACCAAACATTATCGAGTCAGCAAGGTATAATGAATAGTGGTATAGAACATAATACTGTATACTGTATATAGTATAAGCTGCAGTAGGGCTGAACACTTGCAGCGATGTGTAATTAATTCTTCATGTAAATTCTTTGATATTAAATTAAAATCATTATCACACTCTACATGGTTATCCGTGGGCTAAAGTTACTTTACATACATAATACTAAGAATTGAGAGGATAATAATCTCCCACACTAACATATTTTTATTTATGCTGTTATTAATTACTATACAATATTTATACGCCTAAATTAATGTTTCTTTGTGTATTTGATTTTGTTTACCTCTTTCCTATAATTAATACTAAATATATGATTAAATGAAAATTTAAGTAAATTTATAATGAACATATAGTAATTTTTCAATTCAAATAGAACACAATACTGTATATAGTATAAGCTGCAGTAGGGCTGAATAGTTGTTACACTTGCAGCGATGTGTAAATTCTTTGGTAAATTCTTTGATATTCAATTAAAAACATTATCACACTCTACATGGTTATCCGTGGGCTTAAGTTACTTTACATACATAATACTAAGAGTTGAGAGGATAATAATCTCTCACACTAACATATTTTTATTTATGCTATTAATAATTATTATACAATATGTATACGCTTAAATTAATGTTTCTTTATGTATTTGATTTTGTTTACCAATTTCCTATATTTAATACTAAATATATGATTAAATGAAAATTTAAGTAAACCTTTATAATGAACATATTGTAATTTTTCAATTCAAATAAATACTTATAAATAGGTTTTTATTTAGTAAATTTACATATACATGAGGTAATAAAATATTTGTTTCTCTTCAGTTCTGCACTTTCCTAAGCGGCTGATCCTGGACATTTTTTAAAGAGATCTCAAATATCTATTTTATCTGGTGGAAATGTTCGGGATGGCTTCCTGAAAAATATAACGCAGCAGATTGGGTTAATAATGTTCATAAGCCTTGCTAATATCCATAAAGTCCTACCATATTTGCTAGAAAATGTTTAGTATCGGGGTGAGATAGGCCTGTCACCATAAAACCCGGCCACCCACACCACACCATGGTCCTGGATATTTTTTCTATACTGTCAGTACATTTTCACCAAGATATTTTGATTACTAGATGAAATAAATATATATTAAAGTTGGGCAGGGCGTAGGGGTTGGTTACGGGTATGGTAGAAGTAAGGGTGGGAAAAGCATATATCGGGGTCTGGCAACACAGCATTTTATATATCATGGTTTTTATTCTGTAGCAACATAGAGTCGGTATATGGTGGAATACTTGCCTTTTTAAAGCCATTATTAGATATTGATGGCATGTGGAGGGGGTGAGAGGTGTGGAATTTGCGCATGCACAGAGGGGATCGGAGGAAAAAAATTGTACCCTAAAGTTTATTTGTCAGTGTGCGCTTTTTTACTTGTTTCTTTTTCTTCAGCCTACTTAGATTGTAATGGACTGTGGATTAGATTGTATATACGATGTAGTAGGGTCATGCCGGGGGATTAGCGTGTGGCGGAGGGATAGGGTAGAGTAGAGCA